ACCAATGCCTAGAAGATAGTCATTTTGCCTTTCAAATAAATACACAAATCATTTTAAAAAAAATCATTCAACAGGTATAAAAGAGAAAGATGGTTCAGGCAAAGGAAAGAGCAAATGCTAAATTCCATCTAGCTTATAATTTGACTTAGATCAGAATCTTGTAGGTTTACTAATTATGATGCAAGATATTTTGTTAGATTTTCTGTAGTTCGTTAGACACATTGTGAGATATGTCTCAGACTAAAAAGCCCTTGACAGGCCTGTTAATGTCTTTCTGTGTCTCTTCAGTCCTTAGCACTGTGTTGAGCGCTGTGTTCACAGCAGAAGGGCCATGGAGATATTGACAGATTAATCTGATGATTTATAACCATTCACATGCTCCTTGGTTTTCACAAGTGAGGGAAGAAAACACGTATTTATTAACCACTGACTACATGCCTGGTTCTGTGTTAAGGCTCTACATGCGTTCCTTCATGTAGAGATGAATCTGGCAGCGGGGTGTTTTAGAAGATGAAGGTTTTAGGAAAAGGGAGACTCACGTAGACTTCAATGTAGCCAGCAAAGCTGGAAGATTGAGGAGGATACCGCTGGTGATCGCTTGCTCTACATACGGGAGGAAGGCGGGAGAGGAGACTTGGTGCCGAAGCCTCTCTTCATCCGCTCCCACTGGATGCCCAAGCCCACAGGGCAGGGAGGATGCTCTCCTGCAGTCTGCTCTGTGCTGGGATTGATCAGCATGGGCGCCAGGGCTCCACCTGCCATCAAGGCCTTGCTGATGCACTGGGAAAGTGGTGGGGAATGGCTCAAGTTCTTAGGCCCATGTACCTGCTGGAAAGTTCCTGGCTCCTGGTTCCCAGCTTTGGACCCGCTCAGCTCCAGCATTGCGGCCATCAGGGAAGTGAACTAGTGAATGGCGTGTCCCTCTCTCCCCGCTCTCCTTATCACTCTCTAGAATTCTTTCAAATAAATAAATCTTTTTTTTTTTTTTTTTGAGCTTCCCTACCTTGAAGCTGCATCTTCCCAGCTGGTGACAACAGGCCCATTTAACTCTCGAGGTCTTCATTTCCTTGTCTGTAAAATGGATGCAATGATAGCTACTACTTAGGATTACAGAAGATATTATATACAAAAGAACTATCAGACAGAAATGTTCCAGGAGCTTTCCTGTTCTGTTTGTCCTCTCATCTTTCCCCAGGCAACCTGTTATAAAAATTACTAATAAAGAAAAAGTAGCTTTTTCTGCTGGCAATATCCTTTATTACAGAAATTTTGGTTTCACAAATCCAATTCTTGTTGATGTCTGTTAGTTGTCCAGTACATTCTTGGAAGGCTAACGTTGTTTGTAGGTGTGACAGTCTTCAAACTTGAGAAAGTAAATCCCAGTTAGGGAAAACTGTCATTCCTTTGTCACGTCAGATATCAAACACAATCTCTAGGAATTCAGAAATCCCTGCTTTTGATTTTTCTTCCTAAGTCACTAGGCCACTTCAGTACCAAAAAAGAGGGATTTTGTACAGAAGGAAATTAATTAGTTTTTCTCAGTTTCAGCAAGCAGCACATTTATCATGTGTTCAACAAAGTTATATTCACTTTCCTCAACAGAGAAATATGTATTTAAGGGATTTCATTATATTTGGAGAAATTTTTCATCAGTCAGAGATTTAACAGCCATCGAAAAGATCTCCACAATTAATCTTTTATAGTGTGGGTGGGACTTATAATCTCTACACTAAAAAAAATTTCTTTTAAATATAAGAAGAAACTATTCATCAGCCATTATGTCTCATGGCAAAGAAAAACTGCTTTGTGTTTTTAAAAATATGGTTGAGAATTTAAATGAAATGTACATGCCTGAAATTAGTGCCAGATGCAATACAATTCAGGCACAATCCACTAGCTGCACCAGGCATTTCACTATGATTTACTAAAAGCTATTCAACAATTCTATGTTTCATAGAACTCTTACAAATACAAGTATTTCATTCACAAAAAATGCATGGCTTGGCACCTTTCCAGGCCAGGCATTTGCTGGAGGGAAGGTAAATTTATTGATTAAAATAAATCAAATGACTGACATTCCTTCCAGAGAACTGGCAGAACAGAAATATTCAGAAACTGAAAGTCTTACAACTGAAACCAAAAGAAAACTCTGCTTTATTCTTTACATTTGTTATAGAAAGTCAGTAATATAAACAGATATTTGAGAAATCTTAATATAACCTCAAAGCATTCATTTAAAATGCCCATTTGAAAATACTAATGTTTAAAGTAGGATTTCCCAAAATCTCTGATGGAATTGGTGTTTTGAAGTCCTGAGAGTATGTACGCCCTCTGCCTTAGGGCTGGCAGGGTCGCACAGCAAGCTCATTGCCTGCCCTTCGGCACTGGCACCTCATATGGATGCCAGCTTGTGTCTCGGCTGCTCCACTTCCCATCTTCCACTTACGGCCTAGGAAGGCAGGGGAGGATGGCCCGAGTCCTCCGGACCCTACGCCCGTGTGGGAGCCTGGGACGAAGCTCCTGTTACAGCTTTGCATCAGTTCAGCTCTGCCGTGGCGCTCATCTGCGGAGTGAACCGGTAGATGGAACACCTCTCTACCTTTCCTTCTCTCTCTCTCTCTGCGAAATCTGCCTTTCAAACAAAAATTTTAAAAAATCTTTAAAAGTGTTGTTCTATCGCTTTCACATATATTCACTAAAAATGAACATTCTTTAATGGAATAGAAAAAGAAATAATTGAGAGAGATCTCAAAAATGCCAGCGTGACCTCTTTCCTGTTCACACCTCCGTTCTTCAACCTCTGCCCTTCCTGTCTCCATTCTGTCACATGTCCGCCATTAGTAATTGTTAAGGCCTGAAGGCGGTGGGCCTCCACATTTTACTTGGTGAAACTAGACCCTTAGAGCTGAGGCTTCTAAGGAAGTAACTCAGGTTAAATGAAGCCAAAATGCTGGGACCCTATCCAAAAAATTAGTGCTTGAAGAAGGGATGTTAGGGGCTGGTGCTGTGGTATAGTATACCAAACCTCCACCTGCAGTGCCAGCATCCCATATAGGTGAAAGTTCTAGTCCCAGTGGTTCCATTTCTGATCCAGCCTCCTGCTTATCGCCTGGGAAAGCAGCGGAGGAGGGCCCAGGTTTTGAGTCCCTGACCCCAGGTGCGAACAATGTCCTTCTACACCGTGTGAAGATGCATGCTGTTTGGGCTGGGAGGGTCCTTCTCAGCCTTCTGACAGCCTGGCTACCCCCGTAACTGTTGGTATAAAAGTTCTGGCTAACTGTTTCTCAACGAGGGGCCATGTCATTACAAGTAAATGACACTTTCCTGTGGGCGGCTCTCACTTGATGCTGATTACCTAGGGACACCCCAAGCAAGGTGACCCCTACGCCCACTGCCAGATCTCCAGAATCAGAGACTGACCTTGAGAAGGCTCCTTAGCTCCTCAAGCTGCCCCACATAGGCTTTCCTATTATTCTGGTGCTTCAAAACAAAACAAAACAAAAAAACTACTTGCTAAAGTTGGTACATCTTTTCCTACAAGATGCTGGAAGTGGGAATAGGATAATGGATAGTTTTAAAAGAAGCTTAAGGGCCCAGTATGATAACCTAGTGGCTAAATCCTTGCCTTGCACACTCCAGGATCTTACATGGACGCTGCTCCACTTCCCATCCAGCTCCCTGCTTGTAGCCTGGGAAAGCAGCAGGGGATGGCCAAAAGCCTTGGGAGACCTGGAAGAAGCCCCTGCCTCCTGGCTTAGCTCCAGATGTTGTGGCCACTTGGGGAGTGAACCAGTAGATGGAGGATCTTTCTGTCTTTCCTTCTCTCTGTAAATCTGCCATTCCAATTAAAAAACAAATCTTTTTAAAAGAAGCAGCATGTTTGTGTTTACTGAAAGTATAAAATTGAGTGCAATGTAAGATTTTATGCATTTCAAAAGTCCTTTGAAAAGTGCATTATAATGTTAACCTCAAATAGTTAAGACTGATAATTACGATGGACCAACTTATAGATCTTTTAAATTAAATCTGGTCCAAAACTGCCTGTGTTCTTAAGATTCTCAGTAAGAAACCGCAGCCAAACTCAGGATGCACACCAAGTGTAACCCAAGCGGATCTTTGTTCACAGTGGAGTCGTGTAAAGTGACCACTTACAGGGTTGCCAACTGGTCGGGTCACACCCAGGTTAGGTAAGCATGTAGCTATAACGAATCTGTTTCTTTATGTCATTTCCTTAAAAAAAAAAAAAGAATTCTGTAAATGCAGGCTGATCATAGGTGCTGGTCCCTGACTCGGCCTTTTCTGGTCCTAGGTTCTCTTCTACTTATGAGTCCTTTTCTCAAACTGCAACATTTTATTTCTTTTTTTCTTAAACGTTTAACCTGTTAAAAGCTTTAGCTGTACTTTCTCACCTAATCCGTCCAGAACTGGAAAGCACGGAGTTACTGAGGGGAACTGAAGCATTTCTCTGACGGCGCTCTTCTCTGCTTTTCCTGGGCGGTGTCAGATGCTCCCCAGGCCCTCAGAGCAGGTCACCTCGGGGCCTGGACTCATCACTGGACGGACACGCCCAGGAGTCGGGGTGGGCCCGGCTTGCCCCTCACCAGAGTGTCACGGTGCCTCCCAGAGCCCGGGAGCTTATTAAATTCGTGTAGAAACAAAACACAGAGGGAAGGGAGCCGGCAGATGAGGGAGAAGGATCCTAGAAGGCCCGTCCCTCCTGCCCCACGACCAACAGCACTTTCTTCATTCAGACCTACCGGCCTACGGCAAGGAAGGGAGAAAAAACAAAACCTTCAAACGCTCCGAAACACAAAATAACCGGCGCCGGGGGTGGGGGGGAGGTGTGGAGAGAGACAAGAAACAAACCATTTTGTTTCATTCCCCCGCCCCCCCAGCAAAAAACCATCAGCCGAGGGAAGCTGGTTGCCATAGCAACCTCAAGGCCAGAGCGGCCGCAACCTATTGGCTGAAACGCCGGAGCCAATGAAAAAGCGCAATGTTGGCGGGTGTTAAGATGGCTGCCTGCCGGCAGTTTGTTGACCGGTGAGTATGGCATATTGCAAGACTGCATCTCGGTGGGCTCGGGCTCCGACGGGACGGGTCAGGGAGACCCCGGGAGGGCCGCTGAGGAAGCCAGCGTGCGCGGTGCCAGCCCCTCAGCCGCTCCGCACGGCTCGGGCTCGGGCAGCCGCGGTCTGAGCCCCGAGCAGCGACGGCGGAGCTGTGCTCCCCTTGCTGGGAGCGTCGCGGGCGAAGGCTTGCCCGTCCCACCGCCGCCGCAGGAGAGGGATGAGGAGGTCTTGGCGCGCCTGTTTACAGTTGCTGTGTCCCCGAAGCCAGCTCCAGCTCCCGGGAACGCCAACCGGCAGGACTCGGCGCGTCGCCGTCGGGGGCCCTTAGCTGTTTTGTGAGGTTCGGATACTGGAGTGGGACCCCGCTGCGATCTTGACCCTGGTAAGCGTGCTCCGCGGCATCCACTTGAAACGAGCCTGGAAGCGTTACCGGTTAATTGTAAATCTTTCTGTGCCGGAGGAGTCCAGGCCCCCTCGGGACACACACTCTGTTTATACTTAAAATGTGTTGCCTACGTGCAAAATGCCACTACACAGTGTATCAGAAGGAGATTGGCAGCTTAAATCTGAACTTTCCCTGGCTTTTAAACCAAGATGCTAGGGAATTCCAGAAACGGATTTTTTTAATGTGTCAATTATTTAATGAGATGTGGTGACTTACGATTCGTATACAGTTGAGCTTAAAGATAGATCTGAGCACATTCAGATTTCTGGCTATTTCTAATTCCACACAAAATGTGGGAAGTAAGGCAATTGGATGGAAGTGGAATTTAAGTTCGGGAATATCTTAGTTGGGAAACATTTACTCTTTGGGTTGGTTGGCTTAGAACTTTTGGGTCTTGCGTGGTATTGTAGACTGTGTGGCATTCTGCCCAACTCCCTGAGACTTTGATGTGTGCAGTTTGGCACAGTGTCTTCTCTAAGTGCAGACAAGGCCATTCTTAACCAGATTTTAACGGAGCAGTCCTGATGACAGGCTTTGTTTCCAGAAATAAGGTTAGCACTCACACAACTCTTCCTGGTGCAAGTTGGTGATCTGAAGTGGCTGGCCATGCACCAGGCAGGCCAGTGAGCCTGTCTGCTGGGGTGGCAGGGTTCTTGTGAGGAGTCAGGGTGGACATTGCCACAGTGCATGGGTGCCTGCCGAGAGGCTGGTGACTCTGCTATTCTCTGGGTGCCCTCCCTTCTCTGGGATTGTGGGCCAGATGCTGCCTGGAGGACAGAAAGCTCAGTCTGCTGGAGTCCTGCCTGCCTCCCACCGGGAGGGCGTGGGCATTGGGGCCCTGACGGTGCTAAGGTCCCCAGCGAGTGGCGCAGAGCTGCAAGGCCCTCACAGAGGATTTGGGCCTTTGTTTGGCAGCTTCTGAAGGGAGACCCAGAAGAAAGCCATGGCTTGTCTAATGGTCGTCCCCAGGACTGGCTTTCAGATCTGCTTTTCCGCATCCCAAAGCTCCCCAGTCCTTGCCCAACCCAGAATCCTTTTGGTCATGATTTGATGTCTCAGTGGATTCCTTGCTTGGACAGGCAGTGTTGACTCAACTGTGTGCCTTAGTGCCTTTGCCTGTGAAAATCAGGCCCAGAGCTGTTCAAGGTCCTGGTGGACAGGTGAAGAAGAATGCTTCCCCGCTTGTAAGTCTCCTTCGCTCAAGGCAGATGACATTATTTCACTGGAAGGAAAAGTAAAATATGTTGGGCGTTTTTCTTATTTCAAAGTAGAGACCTCTGTTATTGACTTTGTAGGCCTGGTAGGCACCTTGGGTTAGGAGCCCCTGAACTGTGCCCCATTCTCTGCATTGTTTTCTGCCCAACTATGCTAAATCATGGCGTGGTTGGCTTTTAAGTGCCTAAAAGAACCTGGCCTTTCAGACCCGGGTATCATGTAATGTTTTCAGTGCAAGAAAAACTGCACCCAGGATTCACGGGGCGAGCTGCCTAGTGCACAGAGCAGGTTTTTACAGAACAGTTGAGGGTGGAGTAATTTACCTGGAGGTGCAGGGGCTATGAAATGAAGGTGATATTCACAACAAGAGAGAAAAGCAGAATTCTGAATCATTCACACGTTCCTCAGAGCTAAAGTGACTAAATTAACGATCATGTGAGTTGCAGGCTGAAAAATGAAAATTTGCGAATTAAGATACCGGCTATTCCATGCACCTAAGAACATGTATGCATACATGTTAAGTTTCTGTTTCCCTGGTATTGTGCATGCAGTGAAAATGGCTGAGCGGATTTTCACAGTTAAAGGATAATTTGGGATTATCTGACTTAAAATAAAGAGATTAAAAAAAAAAACTTTAAGAGATAGTCTGAAAGCCACAAGTGGAACAGCTGAAGCAGGAATGACAGGCGCCTGCATGATAGAGGGGAGAAACGCAGAGTGGCTTGTGTATACTGCCAGCAGAAAGACCCTGTTCTCACACGTGAGCCTAAAACGCAGTCAGCAGGCAGCCCCTCGACACCGGCTGGCTGCGGGGCTGCTTGCTGCACCGTGGCTGTGTCACTGACTCCTCAGCGAGTCGCAGCAGGTGCACGTGTGCATCCTTGTCTGCAGAATCGTCTGTGTTTTTTGTTTTATTATTGTTGTTATTCTTAAGCTGCTCATAGGAAAGTGGCCAAGCACTTGAGAGACTTTCAGGAACTGAGTTCAGAAACTGTCATGTTTGAATTGTGCCATATTCATGGGAACTGTATGGCAGAGGCTCTGCCCGGGCTGCGTCCATGCCCCAGAGTATCTTAAGACTCTCTCTGTGCCAACCTCTAAAACGCACAGGCCTCCTTTATGGATAGGTGAAGGTGTTTGGGGTGCTGGAGTGCACAGAATTTGGGCCTCCTCTTTAAAGAAAAAGAAAAAAAGAAATACAAATTCTGAATAGATAATGAGGTGCAGTGCTGGGGAAGCAACTGCTTTGGGGAGCCGAGAACCCGACCTGCCATTGTTTTTCTGGTAGTTTATCTCTCATTTTCTTACTCTACTCAGAAAACCAACACTGAAATTTCACTAGAAGCATCATGTCATACTGTGGAAATCAAGAAAGTAAATGCCTTGCATCAGTTGCTAGGTGAACGCCATCACAAATAATAGAAACTTATAAACTACCCTCAGAACCCTGCTACCCATAATAGAGATGATGGCCAGAGAAATACAGTGACAAGAGCCCGATATTGATGGAACCCCTGGAACCTCCGGAACCCTTCCTTATCTCAGTTTTTTCCTCAGCTCACTCTGCAATCAATGGTCCCTGACTTACAAAGATACTCAAGATAGAGATGCTAAGTGGCTCCCTTGTACTGGCAAGGAATTCCAGTTGGAGTGGTTGAATGCCACACACTTGAAAAAGCCTAGAGAATATTCTGGGGTTGTGTCAGAGAGCCAATAACTGATAAGGCTGAGCCAAAAACATTTTTTAAAAAGTGCCATCTGATTCTTTGGTGCTAGAGGGAGGATTTAGAGAGATCAGGGCTGTCTCAGGGCAGTGCAGGTCCTCTTTGTCTCAGAGAACCGTGCTCTGGGTCACTCTGGGGAAAGCTGTGTCACTCTGAAAGCTGTGGCAGCCTGCTTGATCGCTGGACAGGAAAATGTGATTTAAAATAAAACCAACTTTCCTATTGTATACATCTTTTGAAGGAAGTTGTTCAGTATGATTGTATCATGGATTTCGATGTAATAAAAATACCCAATTTTCATAATTTTAACTCATGGTTAACAACTCTCATTTCTTTAATCCTGTTTATTAACAATGATTAATTGTTCTAACAGTGGGCCTTGAACTTTTAATATTGGTTTCTCAAGTTTAGTATTGCCTTTCCAAAAAAAGCTGTATGTTTTAGTTAACTTGCAAGTAATATATTTCATGTATTATAGTTATAGTATTTAGTGTAAAATTTAGAACTGAGATATCCTTCTTACCACTGGGTCTTCCTTAAACTATTTATGAGCTTAACATTTTTAAAATAATTGTTTAGTAGCTCCTTAGAAGATAAGCTCCCCTGCTAAAACCGTATATTCATACGCAGGTAAAACTGTCAGCTTTGTCTGCTCTCTGCATGCTACGACTCCAAGTATAGCATTGTCATTCTTCAGTTGCCTGGCAGAATGTATTGTTAGACTGTTAAAATTATTTAGAATGTTTTGCTAATTTCACTTTTTTAGTCTAAGTTGTTAGATGATCAAATTCTAGTTTCTTATTAACATGTAGGTTTGCTCTAAAAGGCTTGTTAAAGCTATTTTTAAACTTTTTTACTTGTGCAAGACTTAAGCTAGCTTAATATGTAAGGCTCACCCCATTTCAGATGTTTTTAAAAAGAATTTTAGATAGCTATTCCCGAATCACTGGTATAGTGACTAGGCTTCTGGGCTGCAGTTTAATGATTTTAAACTCATTTCCATGGCAATTCCTGTAATATGCTTGTCTAAGCTCATCCTCTTCCTGCAGAAGAGAAGATGTGGAGTGGGCTGCTGCCTCCTGGCCTCAATGAAAGTGATGTGGAGTCAGATTCTGGGGATGAAGCCACCTCGGCAGCGACCTCCCAGGAGGGTGATGCGGACGGGACTGCTAGGAACCCGGACATCTCAGCTGTCCCCGCAGAGCAGCCCGAGACTGAACCAGAGACGATCGTGGATGCCTATGAGGCGTGTCCTGCTGGAGTCTCCCTGAACATGTGGACCGTACGTCTCCCCTGTGCTGCCCTTATTAAAGCTTGTGTGTATGTTTATGTCTGTGGAGGGGACTTACCAGGTAAGGGAAATAGACTCAGAACGCTGTTACTGCTCTCTGCGTCGTTTGCCACTTAGGTTCCTGCTTTCATGATTACGTTTCATAGGAAGAGAAAGGGGGCACATCGCTCCGGAGGAGAGCAGTTCTGCCTGCCGTGGTACAGAGGAGTTCTGTCTTTATTCTTTTTTTGTTATCTGTCTGAGTCAACAGGTTTCATTCAGATGATCAAACAGCTCGTTTCAAAACAAATGAATAACAGATCTTAGGTATGAGGGTTTGAGGAATGGAATGTCAGCAACTCTACTACTTTAATTAAGGTGGTGCTTTTATAAATACCAGGCTGTAATTGCTTTTATTACTTAATGTATCTGTTATTTGTAGGTTTTGTTTGTTTGAATGACAGAGTGACAGAGAGGGAGAGACAGACATCTGCCAGGTCACTTGTCAGGGCCCAGCCACCCCAGCTGCAGCCAGGCTGTGTGGCAGGGCCCAAGCAGAACAGCCAGGACTGAATGTAGTGCCTTTTGCAAGTAGCAGCTTAACCTGCTGACCCCATTTATTATTTTTACATGTGTCTTTTTCTTTAATTGTGTTTTTGTTTTGAATTTTATGGTACAATTCCATAGGGTCTGGGCTGATTTTCCCCATATTATTACTACAGCACAGTCCTTCCTAACAAGTCATGAATCCATCAATCTGTTATTTAAGTGTGTCCCAACATTGCTGGTACAGACAATGTCAGACAGTCCAGCATCCCGTTGTCTAGATGTGTCCAACAGTTTCAGTGGGAGTCCATCTTTGATTTGGAAGTCGGGATACATACTGCATTGCATCTTCACATCTGGACATGATAGTCTCTACTGTGCCATCACTATACATTCCCTTAAATGAGAAGTCATCCCTTAAATGAGAAGCCACTTGTGAACAAAGTCAACAACAGGTATAAAGTTAAAACAACAGCAACAAACATTACAGCACCGTGGAGTTGAAAAAGCACGCCACTGAATAACCAGTGCATGGGTGATGAAAAGAAAACACAAAAGCTTCTTGGATAAAATGGTGCCACTGAGCAATTCATGAGTCAATGATGAATTCATCAAGGGAAAAGAAACCATTTGGAAGAAATGAAAATGGAATAAAAAACATCAAAGCACATGGGATACAGCAAAAATAGTATGGAAAGGGTTACTGAACTTAATTTGCATGATGGTTTCCTTATAATAGAACATATGGCATTTGTCCTTTTGGGATTGACTTATTTTGCTGAGCACAATGCTCTCTGGTTAGGACCATCTAGTTGCAAATGGCATGCTTCATTCTTTTTAATGGCTCAGTAGTATTCCATGGAGTAGATGCACCACAGTTTCTTTAACCACTCCTGTTTGGATGGGCACCTGGATTATTTCCATGTCTTTGCTATTGTAGATTGTGCTGCTGTAAACATAGGATTATAGATCCCCTTTGTTTCTTTTTAATAGATATATTTAAGGAATATACTTACTCCTAGGAGCAGGATAACTGGGTCATATGGCAGAATTCTCTAAGCACTCTCTATACTGACTTCCACAGTGGCCGTCCTGGCCTGCAGTCCCACCAGCAGTGAGGGAGGGTGCCTTTCTCCCCACATCCACGCCAGCAGGTGTTATTAGTTGAGTTCTGAATGTAGGCCAAACTCACTGAAGGTAGGTGATACCTCAGTGTGGTTTTCATTTGTATCTCCCTGACGGCTAGGGAGCCCGAGCATCTTTTTATATGTCTGTTAGCCATTTGATTCTGTTATTTTGAAAAATGCCTGTTCATTTCTTTCATCTATGTGCATCTTTTTCTTTAACGTATATTTGCTGCTTAACTCTGTTTTTTTAACTTTGACATAGAAATTTCAAGAGTTGCATAAAAAACATTCTGAACAGAAAGTCTCAACCTCAAGATTCAGAAAGAAAAAAAGAAAACGCTCCAGAAAAGGTAGTTTGTTTTAATCCAGTTTATCAGCAGTGGTAATACTCATCTGTGATTAATTCAATACATTTTTAAAACATTTTAAAGTAACAATCGAGTACTTGAATGTTGACACTTTGTGAATTCTTTTCAGATAAATTGAAGAATGGAAATGAATCTCATGGGTAGGTAGAATTTAAAATAGTTGTCTGTTCCAGACTTACATAATTTGTCCAAATTGTTGAACTGCTTGTGTCTGAGCTGATTAAATAGGAGAACTAATAATTGTGGTGTAATTGTAGTAATCAATTAAAATTACAGAAATTAAAATGGGCTGATTTTGTATAAAACAAAGCAATTTATTTTGTCTTCCTGCAGTGAACCAAGTGAGCAGTCATCAAACGAAGCTCAGTGGAAGGAACTTACTCAGTATTTTGGAGTCAATGATCGATTTGAACCTCCTGTTAAAAAGAAAAAGGTTGAAAAAGTAAGGTTTTTTTTTGTATTGTATCTTCTGTTTTTAAAGATTTATTTATTTGAGAGGCATAGTTAGAAAAGAAGAAATACACACACACACACACACACACACCTTCCAGCTGTTGATTTATTCCCTGAATGACTGTGGTGTGTCTAGGGCAGGACTAGGCCAAAGCAAGGGCAGGACTAGGCCAAAGCAAGGGGACAGGAGCGTCATCTGGGTCTCCCATGTGGGTAACAGGAGCTCAACCACTTGGCCTATCTTCTACTACCTTCTCATGCCATTAGCAGGGAACTGGGTGGGAAGTGGAACGCCTGGGACTCGAACTGGCATCCATAAGGGATGCTGGTGCTTTAGGCAGTGGTCTTCCCCCACTGTACCATGACATTGACTACCCAGGGCAGACCTTTCTTAGAATGTGCCATCTCCCTGAGGTTGAAGGGTGGGCAGAGAGCCACGATGTAAAGAATGTGAATACAGTGTCAGTAGCATGGGGCAGCATTCTCAAGTGGATTCATTCTGGAACACTGGAGTAAAAAGCCGGCCTGGCTGGGATGGAGTTGCCCAAGAGAATGCTGGGAGGCAGGCAGCAAACTCTGGAGAGCCACATGGCGTCTGAGGGAAATGGGCTTCGCTCAGTGTAGTTGAACAGGGTTAAAGGTTTCTGGGTGAGGGAATAGTTTGATTTATGAAAAGATCACCCCAAAAGCTATGCGGGAAATGATAGGGGCAATGAAGGGCAGCAGAAGTCGATAAGAGAACAGATAGGGGACTCGTCCAGGCATGAGATGGGGGCAGACTGAGCAAGTGTGATGTTGCTGAAAACAGAAATTGTGATGGACTTGAGGTACAGCATGGAGATAGAATGAACAGTATTTGCTCTTGGGTTGTTTGGGGTCGGCTTGGAGCATAAGGAAGGAGAAAGAACATTCTGAGTTTTGCCATGGGCAATAGTGAGCAGTGATACCTGTTATGGAGGTGAGCATGAAAGAATGAAGGGGAACAGATGTAAAGGCGTAGCCACATTTGATTGTGGTGCATGTGTGTGCTAACTGGAAAACAGGGACAGTAGGTTAGTAAAATGAGGTGGGGGTGCAGGGGAGCCCATGTTGTATAGCAAGTGGAGCCTCCCCCTGTGAGGCCAGCATCCCACGTGGGCGCTGGTCTGACACCCGCTGCTTCACTTCCAAGGTCTAACTCCTTACCAGTGTTCCTGGGAAAGCAGTGGAGGATGGCCCACGTGATGGCCACCTGCACCCATGGGGGAGACCCAAAAGGAGCTCTGGGCTTTTGGCTTCAGACATACTCAGATCTGGCTATTACAGCCATTTTGGGGAGTGAACCAATGATGGAAGATTCTCTGTCTTTGCTCTGTAACCTTCACTCTACCTTTCAAATAAATAAAAAGTAAATCTTAAAAACAAAAAGAGGTTGGGCTCTGAGAAGAGAGTTTTACATATGCAGACATGAGCGGTTCTCAGTCTGGGACTCGGAGAGAGCTTCAGGGGATGGGCGCGGTGACACTGAGGCAGGACAGGGGGCAAGGGCTGCTTGGAGTGTGAGAGTGTGAGTGGTGTGAACGTGACAGATGCCCCTTTGGCTCACGCGGCCTGAGTTCAGTGTGTTTAGAAACCGCCATGTTCTGGTCAGTTGGCGTACCTTTCCTTTTAAATCCATTGTAGGACGATGCTTTGCTGTTTAGAGGAACTATGCTAAGGAACGCTCAACAGAATTCTGTGTGTAAACTTTTTATTCTGTTATGCAAAGAATTAATGGAAATTAGTCCCTAGTGCCCTAGGGGATTGGAGCCAGGATGGCTTCCGGAGGCAGCTGGTTATTGCTCTGAGCAGTATCCTTTTTTTTATATAAAGATTTATTTATTTTATTGAAAAGGCAAATGTATAGAGGGGAGGAGAGACAGAGAGGAAGATCTTCTGTCCAATGATTCACTCCCCAAGTGACTGCAATGGCCGGTGCTGTGCCAATCCAAAGCCAGGAACCAGGAACTTCTTTCTGGATCTCCCATGTGGGTGCAGGGTCCCAAGGCTTTGGGCTGTCCTTTACTGCTTTCCCAGGTCACAAGCAGGGAGCTGGATGGGAAGTGGAGCTGCCGGGATTAGAACCGGCACCCATATGGGATCCTGGCATGTTCGAGGTGAGGGCTTTAACCACTACGCTATTGTGCCGGGCCCGAGCAGTCTCCTTTTTGCAAATGTCCAGGGGGATGCAAAATTTGTCTAGCATTGTTTAGAATTTGTAATTTGTATGATGTTAGTTTAAACAGGATACTAGAACTAGAACTCTGTGCCAAACCTTTTTAGGCAATTGAAGTTTTGGACAGAGTTCTGATTCACATTATTACATTTGATGTATTCTAGGAGACAATTTTTAAGTTGTAATTAGCATTTTAAAAATGAGATCTCTGTATAGTTTTTGCTTTTGTTTTTTTTGCAATCACTCCCACCCTGTGTTGGGAGTTTGAGTTTTCCTGACGGGAGATGTTCCTGTTTTTAAACAGCACCCCACAGAAAAAGTTAGGACTCTGGGCACAGAAACCATGCTGGCCAGCCCTGTGTCTGGTCATAATTTTGCCTTAATGGTCAACAGATAAATTTACACAAAAATGAAAGAAAAGACTTAATGAAGTCCAGTTCTTTGCTCTTAAGGAGTTGGTTGTAATTGCATGCTCGTTACAGCGTTGTTCTGTCTGGGATCACCTCTTCTGGTGTTGTGCTGAAATCTGTACCCTGAATGCCCTTAAGGAATGCCCATAGGAGGGGCACGAGGCAGAAGCTAGAGTAGGAGTGAGGCCAGCAGGTAGTTCCTGCCTGCCCTGCGTTGAGACACTGTTGAAACCCTGGACCTTCGGTCCCTGTTCTCCGCTGGAGCCAGCCGGGGGTCTCCTGCCGTGGCTCAGCCTTCTTACTTTGCATTCCTGCAGCCCTTGGGAAGGTAACATGGTGTAGGCTTCTTCTTCTTGTCTGATGTGATCAGGTGTTTGAGAAGCTGTGGAGGATGGATGTTTAGCACGCTGCCCTCACCCTCTTCCAAGCCACGCCAAGAAGCTTGTTTGTTTTGCTTGATCGTTGTCGTATCCAATGGTACTTTAGTGTTCTTTGTATTAAGTACAGCTATACCTGAGTTTCGGGCGGCAGTTCTGGGACTTACTAGTCGTTCTAAAATCATAACAATTATTTTGGATCTGTAGGAATTTCTTTAGAATAAATTTTACTCATTAATTTCACTATCACAGGTATTCTTCATTTGAGTCAGTTTGAATAGTCCGCAGCCATTAGTGAAGTAGTTTCATGTTTACTTACTGGATGCCTTTTGACATGAAAAGCCAGCTGTACTTTCATTGATTTTTTAAAGTAATTGTACATTATCTGGTGGTTTTAAAATTTGTTGTTGGGAGGAAAACTGCCCATGCTGGGCATAGCTTTTGCAGCCCTGTTTCTCTACCAGTGTTTTCTCCAGCCATTCTTGCGTCAAACTCCAGTACCTCCATGGCATGAAACGCTGGCTGCTTGCACGCAGGAGGCGTGGGCATGTGGAGGGCAGTGCTGTGGGCAGGAGGCATTGCAACAGGAAGTGCCGTTGGCACTGTGGGGTGTCCCTGGGATCAGTTACAGAGTGCTCCCTCTTGATTCTGCTGTCCTCCCCGTATGAGGCAGGGCTGTAGTATTCACAGGAGGAGCTGAAGCTGAGCAGACAGCAGCTCAGAGGTGAAATGAGACCCTAAACACAGGTCGTTTGCTCCCAAAGGTGGATTTTTCTGAATAACTGAACTTAGATCTTTTTTTTTTTAAGATTTATTTATTTTTATTTGAAAGGCTAATTTTGCAGAGAGAGGTCTGGCTCATTCCCTAAACAGCTGGAATAGTCAGAACTGAGCTGAGCCGGAGCTGGGAGGCAGGACCTTCTTCCCAGTCTTCCAGGCAGGTGCGCTGCCCCAAGGACCTGAGCCACCCTCCGCTGCTTTCCTAGGCCCTGAGCAGGGAGCTGGATGGGGAGTGGAGCAGCCAGGGCAGGAACCATCCTTATGGATGCTATGGATGCTGGCACTGGCACACGGAGGGCTGCTTGCTGTACCACCACACCAGCCCCTGAACTTGGATTCTTACAAACTAGACTTGCATGATTTAAGTTGCTGTGTCTTACCAAGGTATAGAGGTGATAGAGTAGATATGTGAGTTACATGTAAGAGTAGTTCTTTTCTTTATGGAGAAATTGCATTCTTTTTCCCTATTTAGGTCCTGTCACAGTAAAGCAAGCTTCAGTGGATAATTCGTTTCTGTTGAGCTTTAAACATTGAATATATTATCCAGCTAAATGATTATGTGGCAGAACTTCTGTCAAAACGTGTTGCTGTGGAATTTGACTTCAAGTCCTTTATTCAGTGTATTACTACAAAATATTCCCCATGTGTATGCTTGGGTGACTAATGTATAATAGTAAACCTGGTAGCACAGTTGTCTTAGCTGTTTGTGATCTTGACCTCTTGACGTGTGTAGCAGAGCTGTTCATTAGAGGGCAGCTGTTGCCTGATGGGACCCTTAAGATACTGTGCGTGGAGGAGTTCCCATGTGGCTGCATTGCATCCCTAAGTTGGTTTGTCTGTGTTGGGATCATCTTGGGCTCAATTTTGCTTCTAGCCACAAGCAACGTAGAAACCCACCAAGGCGTTGCAGCCCATGCACATGTGCTGTACTGGCTCTCCTGAGGTCTGGGAGACATACTAGACATTAGAAAAGTAGATACGGCTAATCTTGGGTTCAACCTCAGACTTTTCAGGAAAGCATCAGTGAAATGATTTATAGGACCATACTCATTCAAACTCAAGTTCTTGTATTTGTTCTTGAGTTTGAGCCTTGCAGAGTTGTGCTGTAGCCTGGCTGTATAGAGATGAGCCCTCGCATTGCATTTAATGCTGTTGTGAATTCGAGGCAGAATCATGCCAACAGCTATCAAACGACAGCTGAATTCTGAAAACATGGGTAAGGGGTTTAGGTGTGTCTCTGACTCTTAATGTAACTTTGCAGAGAACATTTTACTGCGCATGCGCAGTTGTGATCATGGAGGTTTAGGGACTCAGCAGGGTTGCTTAGCTCCTCAATGGGGCCCTGAGGTTTGAGCGCGGGTCTGCCCCCTCACCATGCTGCTGTAAGCTGTTAGGGACTTAGGGTTTTGTGGAGGTGGAAATGTTGTATGGAAGAATTTTTTTAAAACTAATATAACCATTTTAGATGCACTTGAAATGTTAGTGTGATCTTATAGGAAGTTTAGGTGTATGTATGGATTCTATTTTGCTTGAATTGCCAAGAAGAAGGGAGGGAAAAATGAAATATATCTAATTTATATTGCAAAATATAAATATTATAGTTAATTATATCTCACTAATGCTGTTGAAATTTTTAAAAACTTAAAGAAGCACCGCAAACCAAGTTGAAAATGAAGGAGGGTATTTTGGTCACCAAAGCAGTGTGCGCACTGTCTGTGGGAGAGGAGACTTCCAAGGCCAGCGGCTCTGCCCGGGGCAGTGCCCACACTTCCTGACTGCTGGTCCAGCCAGTCTTCTTTTAGCTTGAACTTGCTCATCCTGTTAGGTGCTACTCAGAAAGGCTGGGGCCATGGGAGTTGCTTGATGGTGAAAGGATGGATTTATAGTTTTAACTAATTTATTTTTACATGACAGTTACACCTAGGAGCTTAGCCAGTCATATTTCTCAAAGGAGTGTCTTTCTCCCCTTCATTCCATTGACCCTTATTTAGTCTGTGGCTTCATGGTAATCTAAGGGAGGTTAGCAAGTTGGTGGAGCAAAGTGATCAGCTGATATGAAGGTTGTTCATGGACATTGCTGACAAAAGCCAAGTGTGTCTTCCTCCCCCATCACTGCTCTGTGACACTTGGGGGTCTGACGTGAAGGAGTAGCCATGCTCGGGTCTTCTGTCATTGGGAAGCCTGTGGAGTTAGAAGGCTGCAGAGCTGCTGTATGGACTGAGCAGGGTTGGGTCAGCAACAGAGACCCGTAGTGACCAGGTGACCGAGGTGAAGGGTGGGAGCGGGGCTCAGCTACTGCCTTCCTGCTGCTAAGAATGGGAAAGGTCAGACAGACCACTGTTGCAATGGCATTGGCCCAAAGTGTGGACTGCTGAGGGGGTAGTGGGGTGTTCCTTGAGGGCGAAGAATGTTGGGGGAAGTGAGTCTGAGGTGTTTAGATCAGGGGGATTCTGCAGAAACACAAAGAAGGGAAATTCCTAAAGATGACCACAGGATAAGAATGGAAAAAAATACCAGAGCCCTGTAATTGTGGCCAAGGACTTGAAGCAAGGGTTCCAGCTGCAGGAAGGAGCAAGCATAACAGCTGCTTCTCCTGCCAGGTCCTGAGGAGGCATTGGGGAACAGACATCAGAGACCACCCTGTGGTCTTGTTCCATAATCTTTTTACGCAAATTAATGTTGTGGAAGTGTTTCAGGAAAAAAATTCTGTTGATTGGCATAATGACTTAATATATTGATGGGCAAGACATTCTTAGGACTTCCGTTATTAGGGCAGGAGAAGTCTGGAAGAAAAATCTGTGTGAACTGAAAATGTTGTTAGAGTAACATTTTCTTAGAAAAAGCATGTATTAGGCCAGTTTAAAAATTTCTTATTGTCTTTATTTTCATGAACTAGAACCGTTGAAGTACTTTCTGTAAGTATATAACAGATCTTCCCTACACAAGTTTTAGGTGTGATTTCTTAAATAAGTTTAGCAGTTAAAAGCATTTCCAGGAACAGGCATTGTGGAGTAGTGAGTTAAGCTGCCACTTGAAGCCACACATGTCCTGTTGGAGTGCCAGTTTGAGTCCTGGCTATTCTGTTTCCTGTTGTATCTTGGGAAGCTGCAAATGGTGAGTCAGGTACTTAGGCCACTACCTTGATATGGGAAACCCAAATGCAGTTCCTGCTTCCTGGCGTCTGCCTGGTCCAGTCCTGGCTGCTTAGGGCAAGAACCTGTGGTTGGATGATGTGCCCCCCCCAACCCCATCCCTCTGCCTTTTAGGTAGTTGGAAATTAACTTAAAAAAAAATTCTGTGGGAAAGCAAAATCATTGTTAGGCAGTTTTTCCCACAGTCATTGACTCGGAATGAGCAGTCGAGACAAGAGGTGGAAGTGGTGATTGAGGACACAGACTGAGCAAGCCTGGATTCAAGCGATGGCCTTGGATGACTTGGGCCAAGTTTGGCAGTATGATAGAAGGCTCTGTTTCCTTATCTTTCAAACAGGGTAGTGTTATTCCATGACATATTATGAGAGCTGAATTAACTTTCTTACAGTGCTGGGTCCTGGGGCTACTGCATCGTCAGTCTTACATAGTTTTTAAACTATTACAATTGTGTGTCACGTAGCAACAGACGACATGTTTCTTCTTTGGGTGTCACCCAAACTAAGATGGCTGTATCACTAGGTGATAGGATTTCTCTTCTTTTAGAGATTTATTTTATTCTTATTTTGAAGATCGAGTTACTGGGCCCGGCGGTGTGGCCTAGCGGTTAAAGTCCTCGCCTTGAACACCCCAGGATCCCAAAAAGGCGCCAGTTCTAATCCCAGCAGCTCCACTTCCCATCCAGCTCCCTGCTTGTGGCCTGGGAAAGCAGTCGAGGACGGCCCAAAGCTTTGGGACCCTGCACCCATGTGGGATATCTGGGAGAAGTTCCTGGCTCCTGGCTTTGGATCGACATAGCATCGGCCATTGCGCTCACTTGGGGAGTGAATCATTGGAAGGAAGATCTTCCTCTCTGTCTCTCCTCCTCTCTGTATATCTGACTTTCCAATAAATAAATAAATCTTAAAAAAAAAAAAGAAAGAAATAGCCTTTTAAAAAATTAAAAAAAAAAATAAAGATCGAGTTACCAACAGAAGGAGAGACAGAGAGCGAGCTTCCATCCTCTGGTTCATTCCTCAAAATGGCAGCAGTGGTTGGAGCTGAATCAATCCAAAGCCAGATCCACAGCTTCCTCGGGGTCTCCCATGTGGGTGCAGAGTCCCAAAGACTTGCACCATCCTCCACTGCTTCCCCAGGAGCATTAACAGGGAGCTGGATGAAATGGAGCAATTGGGACTTGAACCAGTGTCTGTATGGGATGCCATCATCTGAGGTGGTAGCTTGAACCTCTGTGGCATGTTATTGCCCTGGTAACTTCTCAGTAGCCTTGTTGTTAATAAGGGAAAACATAGGCTTTGGGTTCACAAAGGCCTGGATTTGCATCCCCTTTTTATTAGTTCAAGAAGTTATTTGACCTTGAGAAAGCATGTAGCAGATACGAGACTTCTCATCGGTTCCTGGAAACAGTGCCAGCCCCCTTACAGGGTGGTGTGGGGGTTCAGTGGTCTGCATGAGTGACGCACTGGGTGAAGTCGTGTGTTGGCTTGGCTTGCAAATGTTTGCCTTCCTTTTCTGCCCTTGATTTTTAACTGTCTTTCCTTTCTAGTCAGGCCTTGAAAAGAGGATTGACCAGGCTGTGGAGGAGTGGGACATCGAGAAGGCCGAGGAGCTCAGTAACCAGCTGGCTGTGCGCGAGGTAGGTGGGGCTGCCGGCACGCTGGTTGGGTCTGCAGCTTCTCCAAGCTGGGGGTGTGTTCTTGCATTGTCACTGATAAGTTCATAAGATCGTGGGGAAATACATGACCTGAGGTATTGCTTTTTGTTTGTTCCCTCTTGTCCTGCCATTTACTATTAAAATGATACGATTTTTGTCTTTAGTATTTTTTGATTGTTTTGATCTAAAACTTAACACTGGGAATAATCCTTAGATTTGACTGGTTCTGGTGAGTTTTGCCAGGTGTGAGTGAGGGCAGTGCTCCATCTGGTCCTCCTGCTTGGAGCAGCAGGTGTGAGTGAGGGCAGTGTTTCTTCTGGTCCTCCTGCTTGGAGCAGCAGGTGTGAGTGAGGGCAGTGTTTCTTCTGGTCCTCCTGCTTGGAGCAGCAGGTGTGAGTGAGGGCAGTGTTTCTTCTGGTCCTCCTGCTTGGAGCAGCAGGTGTGAGTACAGTGTTTCTTCTGGTCCTCCTGCTTGGAGCAGCAGGTGTGAGTGAGGGCAGTGTTTCTTCTGGTCCTCCAACTTGGAGCAGCTTGTGTTCTCCATCACACCCCTCCACTTCTCCTGGCTCTGCACATCCTCTGTTCTCGACAGTTTCCGGCCTTCCCTTCCTTTCGTCTGCAGTGTGAAAGTGACAGACACTTTGCACGATCTTTCCAGCTCCAGAAGGCCACAGGAAGCTCCTCACCTTCCTGGGGCAGGAGGTCTGGGACACTCTCCAGCTGAGGACGTCCCGGGTAGACCCAAGCGCTCACGCTGGTACATAGGGGCCAAGTTTAGTGTTTTGTAATTTCTTTGGGTCCTTTTTGGAACAAAGTCTCTTGGCTGTGGCATCTGTTTTTACTGCCTGAGTACTGCTTTGCCTCATCCTAAGCTGTAGTGTGTCCTGGGTTATTTGTGTGAGCTGCTACTCAGTATTCTTACTCACCTGCACGGGAAGTTCTTTTCTAAACAAAACTGGAAATGGACTTGCTCTTCAGTAGACTGGTCTGTGGACACACTGCCATACCCTTTCATCATCAGGTGCCACAAATCCTGCTGTTGCTGACTTGTGGTTTTTGCATTTCCCCTTTCCTCCGTCGTTTTGCCTCCGAGGCTGAAGTATTATCTGAATTTGTTATTTTTGTATAGTGAAAAACAAATTCAAAAGAAAGGCTATTTGAGATTATCCTGTTTTCTAAGCCTTTCAAAATCATTTGTGACATTAAACACTTCTGTGTATAATATGTGAGGAAGAGAAAGTGTGTGTGTGCCAAGTAAAGTAACTTTTCTCTTACTTTTTTAGCATACACCCTGTTTAACATAAGATTTGCAGTTCGGCAGGTCGCCTTGCAGGTGCCCCTGCTGTCTCCAGAGCTCGTTTTATCTTGTGATTCCTCTTCCCTGGCGTCCTGGGCCTACCCTTGACAACCACTTGTGTCTGTGTGGACCTGACGCCTGTAGATTTAAGTGGAATCCTGCAGCATTCCATTTTTATTAATGTTAAGTGCATTTCACTTAGAGGAAGGTTTTCAGGATTCATCCATGTTGTGATATGTATCAGGATTCACTGTGGAGGACAGTGGCTTAGTTTCTTGGCTAGCTAGGAAGTGTAAGCAGGCAGTGTTGGAGTTGGAAGCAGACACCACAGCAAGTAGACCCGTGCACAGCTCTGGATGGGAGTCCATTGAAACGCTAGTGAGGACGGGGGCTTGCTTTGTGGTCTAGGGGGCTTCAGGAGCCTGACCAGCGCTCAGAGTGGCAGTGACCTGTCCCTGGTGTGTGTGTCACTGAAGGAAGGCCGGTGGAAGTCGGTGGCCGCGTGGGCTGCATAGCCACCTCGTTCGGCTCAGGCGCAAACCTTTCTAAAGAACTGGTGGTGAAATGCCCCTCTAGGGCTGTGTGAACAATCTGCTGGATAGTTGGAGTAAAGACAGGCACCGGAGAAAAACCAGCAGACTTGTAGAATATGGCTGCCCTGCTGATTTTAGGGTTGCTGTGGATTTCTGCATCTTCCCTTGGTTCTTCGTGCCTCTCTGGGCTTCCTTTGGGGCACCCGGGAGTCGTGTGTCAACCACAGTGCCCGTGACCAGCAGAGCCCCGGGCAGCCAGTGTCGCCAGCTTTTCTTTGCTCCAGGAAGAGAGGCTAAGGCAGAGAGCCTGGTAGTCCACACTCAAGTGAGGGCTCCATGTAGTCTGTTGCTGGATGTGCATTAGCTGTTTATTTGGGAAGTCAGGAGACCAGAGAGAGCTCCTGTTTATCTGCCAGTTGACTCTGCGCATGCCGGTGAGATGTGGCTGGAGCCAGGAGCGGGAACTCAGGCCTCCCAGGGGGGACAGGAGCCAGTGACTGGAGCCATCCCTGCCGCCTCTCTGGACTGGGTGGGAAACTGGGGTGAGGTTCTGGAGCTGGGGCCACATCCTGATAAGGCTGAACAGCAGCTCTGAAATGTCCGCTTGAACGCATTTACTGCTGTGTTCCTTTTCAACTTTTATTTTGAAATTATTTCAGGCATTCACGGTTGTAACATTTGTAAAAGGGTTTCCTATTTTTCCAGATAAGTGAAATGTTAACACTTTGTAACACCTGCTTTCATTTTTTTGAATCTGTGCACTTTTATTTAAAATTTCCAGTTGTGTGTCTAGTTTGTAGCAGAAGCAGTGTTTGTTTTCCCAGCGCAGTTTGTCACAGCCTTCCTTGGTCCGCTTGCACCTGCAGTGGCTCCTCGGCCCATCCTTGCCCAGGCCCTTCACTTGCTTGAAGATCTTTAGCATGGGCCTCAAGTCTGGCTTGCCTGGGATTTCTTCATGATTAATTTTAGGTTATGCTTTTTTGTCAGAAATCATGTAGAATTAATGGTACTTTTCAAGTCGGGCTACCCAGAGCCACACGCTAGCTGTTCCTTCTATTGATGGGTTATTTGAGTGTTGATAGCGCTGGATTTCCCTATTGTGATATTACTATGTTTCACTCTGTAACAAGTGAGTGTTTTATGGAGAGACAGAATAAGCTGAGACTGCATAAATATTCTTTCTCACACTTTGAAATAACTAGCTTTAGCAACCATTGCTGTATTTCTTTTAATTTTTTTTTTTCTTTTTTGGTCTGTGTTGCTGGGGACAATTAATATTATTGTGACTGTTAAATGACTCTCAAATGTTGCGCTGGGCTAGGGTCCCAGTGTCCCAATCAGCCCAGCCATGCTGTCATTCTGCCTGCCTGGGTGCTCCCGGGTGTGCTTCGCTTCCCGCGTGCTGCAGGCAGGGGCCTGGCAGGAGCAGAGGGCCTGGGACGCGGCAGCACTGTTGTGACCTCAGAGGGCGCCAGGCGTGTGCTTTGGGTTTGTTTTGTCCTGTCGCTGTCTTAGAGGTGGGATTGTGTAACGCTTAGTCGCTGTTCCCTGTCCCGGTGGACTCTGACGGCTTCTCAAATGTTTGACAAATGAGGTTACTTTAGAAACACGTCACATTTTCAGCAGTGCAAAGCTAATAGATATTTTTCCCAAGTAGTCTTTTTAGTTCCAGATAAATGCTTTGTCCTGATAAAATATTTAGTGTAGGATCAGAGAATTCTGATTATACAAAAAACGCCGGATCCCATTCTTTTCTGTGTGTTAAGTGGAAAAACTGCTAGATGGTTGCTATGTGGAAACAGGTGCTGGAAAAATACTGATGCCACAATTACTGAAGCATTGGGAAGAAGGTACTGCTTAGGATGGAATTTTTGAATGAGTGGTTGAGTTTGAGATTTCATTTTTGTATGTTTCCCCCCGGGGTGCCAGTGGCTATAGATGCAAGAGATGGAATCTCGAGGGGCTTGTGTGAGTGGGCCAGAGCCCTCTGGGTTAAGTGTGTGCTTGCCTGGCAGTGTTCTTTTGAAAATCAGGTATATGGGTTTTCAATCAGTCCCATTTTCTTTTTGCAAGAAGCAGTGACTGGGACCTGCTGATAAAGCCCACGCTCCGAGGCACTGATCCTAGCGTTCTGAAAGCCTTCTCCAGCCGTAATCAGTGAAACTAATTTTTGATGTTTAACATTTATAAGCCCGTGAAACCAATAGGGCAGCAGCGGTAGAGAGAAGAAAGAAGCCAGAAGTAGAACAGTGTCAGCTCAGGCCTTGAGAGCAGCTCCTCCAGTCAGCGGCGTGCCAGACTAGAGGCTGCTGGCACGCTGTCCCGTGGTACTGCAGGCCCACGGTCTCCCAGAACCCCATTGCCATGAATGAATGAAGACGGTAGATGGCCAGCCAGGCTGGAGGGCATGGCTGCGTGTCACGTGTGCAGCCCAGGGTGTGTGGGCTCTGCTGGAGACTACCCCCCGTTGGTCCCGGATTGTTCGATCCAGGAGGAGAACTGACATGGATTTTTTCTATTATATTGATGAGGTTGTTCTTACTGGAAGAAATAATGGTTTACAGTATATTACAAACACTCGGAGATACTTGTGATTTGCTAGCCTCAGGTTTGGCCCTTGCGAATGCCATCCTCCGGACACTCTTCCTGACACCTTGTCTTCGTTACTGTCTAGGTCCTGCTAATATAGAGGAACCAGTGGAAACAGGTGTTTTGACATTCTAAAGCCTGGGTTTAACCACAGGCAGCAGTTAGCCTGACTGAGCGCACGGAGCAGGGTCTCGGTGTAGGCATCTGTGTGTTAGTTGCTGGCAGGTGAACAGCAGCTTTTGGACAGCAGTGCGGTGTGCTCCTGCCATTGGTGCGTCAACTCCGTGGGCGATGGAGGACCTGAGTCGGCTGAGCTTCTCAGTGCAGCATCAGGGAGAATTGAGTGGGGAAGGGGAGCTGCCTAGAAATTGTATTTGGGCTTTGTATAGCTTATGGCCTCCAAGATGAGCTTTTCTGATAAGTGACTGAAAGCATTGCCTGCACTTGACTCCTTGACACCACCAGTCCTTCAACTTGAAACATTTTAACATTTATGGCAACCTGGAGTAAGGAGTCCTACTGTTCCTTGAGTATTTGCAAGATATTCACTATGAGACGCTTTG